CCAGAAGAGGCATTAGGTCTTATTTTCGGGGGATGTCTGATTTTTTTCATCACAAGGCTCAGCTTGGCAGGGCGCCCCCGTGCCCCAGGTTTCACTCGGTGGGGGAGGAATGCCTTCTCATTTATATTGTAATCTGTACTTTTATTTATCAGAAAAAATATTTGTATTTACCTCGATCGTGATTAGCGTCCTTGAACGCCAATGGGAAGGCCCAGTATGAATTCTGTGCATGAGCTCACACTTTCTCACTTGGGGCGCACCACTGCTTTATAGGTATGTTCAATTTTGCAGCTCAAACTCTTCAGCTATGGCTGGCAGCAGTTCCCATCACCTTCAGGAAACCTTAGACCATGCTCCTCACAGCTGAAGCCATCTGGCTTGCCTAGGGTAAGGTTGGCTGTTGTGGGAGGCGTGGCCCATCCCTGTCCTCCAGCTCCACCGCACATGCAGGACAAGCCTCCCATGACAGCCAACCTGATGCTGGATGAGCCAGACTGCTTCAGCTGCGAGGAGCCTGGACTAAGATTTCCATCGCCCAGAAAGTCTCATTGATCCCTTACAAACAGCCTTGCCTCCAATTCTTGTTACAGGAGAGGCTGCGCGTTGCTTCTAAGCACATCCTTCCCACGATCTGCCAGGGCTTAATTATGCAAAAGCAATTTGCTCTGGAAGGGAACTGGGGAAGACGTTTCTGTTGGGAGAGGTCCTGCCCAGCAGTCAAAACTTCAACGCCACACTTCAGACGTGCCTAAGCAGCCACCGATGCATGCACACATAAATGTTGGGCAGGAGGACAACTGAAAAGGGCTGGCACAGATCCCCGCAGCTCATGGAGGCTCTGAGCGCTGTTTTTGGCACCACTCAGTTTCCCACCCCACCCCCACCAGGCTGGTCTTGTGGGCGGGATTGCCTTACGCCTTCCCTGCCACTGCACTGGCAACTGGCGCTGCCCTCCCAAAAGGCAACGTGGTGATTGTCGGCAGTCACACCACGAATGGGAATTGACCATCTCCCAAACCTTGCCGCTGTCAGTGTAATTGCTAGAGCTTCTTTGATGTAACACTTGCTGTACAAGTAACATTTAGAGTGAAAGCTTATGAAGATTTAAATAATATATCTCCAAATATTATTATATGGATTAAGAAATGCATTTTTACTAGACAAGTACTTGTGAAATCTCACTGCATAATTAAGTAGTATCTGTAATTATTAATTAGCATTCTAAAAGGTGTGCCTGGGCGTGTATAATCGACTTAGGGAAATAAGAAAAAAAAAGACTGCCTTGTTCTTTAAAGATCACCTGGAACAGATAATGCCATATCAAGAAAGCCGATACAAAAGTAATTAGCATTTTTATACCATAAGATGTTGTCAGATTAATACAGCATATTTTTAAGAAATGCAGCATATTTTTAAGAAATGTTTTTATATGGTTTATATCAACTTCTAACTTCACAAATGAGAGTATGTTCCTCAAATGAAGAAAAAATTACAAAGGTGTTTTTCAGACCTGTAATACCGATGTTCCTTTTTACCTTATGAACATATAAGAAGGCTGAGGAATCATGCTCTGTTGGACAAGTTAACAGAGTTTACGCCAGCCTGACCCTTCCCTACCTATTTGGATTTCAACCACCATGACTCTGAAAGAATTGAAGGACACAAATATAGTTCTAAAGTACTTGGTATGCTTAACTGTGGGGTTCATTTATCACACTATCACCTTAACCCTAAACATGGTTTATTAATTAAAATTGGCTGAATTCACATACAGCCCTAAACCATAAAATATAGTTTATTAATTACAATAGCTGGTGAGAGGAGAAATGACATTTTATGGAGCATGATGTCATCATGCAAATGATATGAATTAAATAAATTGTACTATAATTATAATCCGAGTCTTTGCATCATCTGCCTGATAATCTCGTGACTCATATATTTTGACACTTAAAAGTCATAAAGTATACTAAAGCAAATCTCATTAAAACTTACTGCAATATGTTGATACATAATTTTTAAAAAACTTAAATATTATTTTTCCTTTTTTTAATAAACCATTATAAACTATACCTTTCAGGAACATTTGTTTTTTAACCTCTTGCAAAACTTAGCAATCTTATTTATTTTTCATGTCAAGAATGCCTGTAATAGATTTCTTAGTGACTATTTTTCAAGGAAGAACCAAATTCAATTAGCAAGACCTCCTGACTTATCCCATTAGCATATTGGCACCTTCTCCCCCTGTAGCATCTTCAGATATCTGAAGGTCTTCAAGCATTTCAGTGAGACTGATTTGGGGAATATTATCATCATCTATGTCACTTTCCACTGGTACCACTGGATCTACAATATAAAATCATAACATATAGTCTACAAAAAAATTATTACAGGACCAAAAATCATGTCTTTCTGCATGATATAGAATGTTACAATATTAAAGATTGGTAACTTAACGTATTTCTATGAGGTACACATAAAAAAATACTGTGCTACCTTTGCATTATCTATCATATAAATAACTTTTTAAATTATGAAGAGAACAGACACCCATAAAATCAACTAACCAATGGTAAGTTCTCCCAAAGCCCTGTTGACAAATCTATTATAAAACAAAGGACATAATCTTAGAAATGATATGTGCATAGTGATATGCGTTTGTAATTTGCTCACTGTGGATGCCATGCCCAGAGAAAGCCATGAGCCAACATATCCTTATTGCTGTTATGATCCATTGAGTTAATCTTAACGTCTGGTGACGCTAAGTCTATATAGGGATTTTTTTGGGCAAAATTTTCAGATGTGGTTTGCCAGTTCCTTCTTCTTAGGGCTGAATGAAAACCTAAAGTCACCCAGCTGACTTTCATGCCTAAGACGGACTAGAACTCTCAGTATTCCAGCTTCTAATACAGCCCTTTTCATCACTATGCCAAATTACTTCAATCCTCAGATAGTTACAAAAATGTTGGCAGATCGAACAGAGGCATATCTTAGCAATACAGCTAATTTAAGTAAAACATAACCCCTAACCCTCATGAATTACAGGTTCTATAGATGCAATATTCCTAATGTTGCAGTGTTCAAGAAGAATGAAATAATTTTGGGTGAGAAACTTACTTTTATATATATTGACATTTTTTCTAATTGTTTCATCTTCTTCTAGATCTTCTAGGAAGTCTTGGTATTGTCTGTAAAAACATCACATTGGAAATAAAGTTAAATATTTTATTTTCATTTTCATCTATGCATATTCTAGATCACTTACATGCACATGCAATAACATGAAGAAAACCAAATATCTGGCTCAAAGGCATGTCCTATAACTCAGAGGTCACCAACTTTTCTTGGCTGGCGGACCGGAGGGAAAGGGAGGGGGAAGTATTTTACACGCGCATGGGGCTGCGAGCACGTGCCCGATATACCTGTGTGATACTCGCTAGTTCTGCCCCATTCTTGTGCAGCATGGTGCCGTTTCCGCGCCCTGAGGCGCGGTGGGGTCCTGTTTTCATGCCGAGGCATGGCAGTGTCCCATTTTCACACCCTGGGCTGTGGCAGTGTCCCATTTTTGTGCCCCATGGCGGTGTCATTTTTGTGCCGAGGCATGGTGGCGGCCTGTTTTTGTGCCGCATAGCATCCTGTTTTTGCACCCCATGGCAATGGCAGTAGCATGAGTGGGGTTCTGTGCGTGCATACATGCACACACTGCCCAGCTTGTCCTGTGGCCTGGTGGCCAACAGCCCATGGCCCACTACCAGGCTGTGGTCCACAGGTTGTGGACCCCTGCCATGACTGTTACAAACATATTAAATTCCTGTTCCATATGAACCTATTCTATATGGTGTTCAGAGAAAAATCAGTTTCAAAAATTGTACAGGAAAACCAAATACAATGTTCGTGATCTTCAGTGTTTTAACAGTTACATCCATTAGCTCTTAAACTGGGTTTATATACATGGTAGTTTACACTACACTAAGCCACAATTTGCTTCAACAGTCATTTTATACTAAGCTAAGCCAAAACCAGACGACCTAAGTTATGATTAGGCCAATACGCAAATTCAATCAAAAGGTTCACAGAATAAGCTCCTTCCTAGCATTTGTGTTTTTGTTAAACTTCTGCTCTAACTTTAGTGAAAAAAACAGATCAAAACTTAAGATTCCTAGATTTCCTCATTTTATGTAATTGTAGCTCAAAAACATTAATTTCAATTTTTATTACAAGTAGGCAGATTAAGCTGGTAGAAAGAAGAATAAGAACATAACATAAAAAGGAGGTTAAAAGAATTCATAACCTTTCATCGTCGGTATCCATGTTATCTCGGTCTCTTTGTAATTCTTTCAGTTTCCAATTTCTGCGACGTTGACGCTTGGTGCGATCATAACTTTTTTTAATCAAAATCTATGAATGGAACAGGGGAAAAAAACAAATTCTAGATCAATACAGCCTATAGGAAAATATTGAGATCTCCTGGAGATCAATGCTTTTATTAAATAGTACATTTACAAATAATTTGACTAAAACTATTATTAGAACTGACATTTTGGTTGTTTACAGTGCAAAGGCAATATACTGTTTATTGAAAGCATTTACTTTTCATATGAAAAAAACCATGCTAGACCAGTTTCCAAAGAATAAGATTAAAAGTCACTCATTATGTTATAGCTTCTCTATATAATCCAGCTATTTCGTATTTAGTGCAGATTATGAACCAACATTTTGATCAAGAGTAGATATGACAGGAACTAGCAAGCTTATTAAATCTATGTCTACAACTAGGCTATTCTATACTTTTAATTTGATCCTGGAAAAAAGAAATGACCTAAAGTATAAACAAGGAGACAATGGAGTGTGTTAATAACATTTTACAAATAAACTAGAAGTGCGAACTTTAAAAGTTACCATTTGAAAACAACTATTGAAGATGCCTGAATCTAAGATTTTTAGGTTATGTGTCGTCTTGGGGACTCATATGCTCTCTCTTATACAGCAAGGATATACTTGAAAGAGAAAGTATTGGCCTAATTTTAATTGTAAATTAAATTTAATTTTAATGTGATTTTTTAAATCAAACATGTAAAATTCACAGTCACTTCTGAGAGACAGGGTGATCGTGTTTAAGATATGCAGAAATAAAAATGGACATAGTGATTGTTAGAGAACTGGGGGATACAAGAAAAACAAATATAATTTCTATATCTATGATAATATAACATGAAACAAAATTAATTTCTTATGTTACCAAAATTCTAGATATGTATTAAGATCTACTTTTACAGTAAATTTTAGAATTCCTAGCCTGTATGGGATTCTATGGACTGTAATCCAACAAAACATTTGGATGTTAATATGCTATTTGTATTGGATTTTAATGTATTGTTTTTAAATGTGAGTCACCTAGAAACACTATTGTAAGATAAGTGGCTGTATAAATAGAAGAAATCAATTAATTAAATAAGAAAGCAAAACAAAACTAAAATAAAACTGTTAAATTTGAGAACAGAACCATATGCCATAATCTATGAATGTTCTTAATTTTAAGAAATGACTTGTTTCAAGAAAAAATATATCAAAACCATACCACATCAGGAACACTATGGGGATTCATCTTATTTGCAAATTCATCATTCAGATTACAGTTAACCAAATCAAAGCTAGAAAACAAAAATATGAAAAATGTATATTAATCATACATTGTTCTATAAATTTGAACAAAAGTATTATTTCCAAAACAATACTACAGAGTAGAATGGAGAAAATTTATAACAGGATTAATTACCATTGAATACTTTTATGAAAAATTCAAAATGTGTCATTATGCAAATAACCAGAATATTAACAAGGGGAGAAACTTGACAGAATCTGTATCTGTCAGTTTTCCAAAGCATATAAAAGTACTGAATCCCAATGTGCTTTGATCCAAGAAATTTACCAAGACTTTAGAGACCCGATAAAGCACGAGTGTCAAACTCGCCACATCACATCATGTGACTTTTTTCACATTGCTGGAACTGGGGTGGGCGCGGCCTCCGCATGATGCAACTGGCCCACCAGCCAGCAGTTTGACACTCCTGCGATAAAGCTTTCTTTCTAGAAGCAAATGCAATTTCTAGTTGCAGGAATATCCAAAAGGAGACATACTTTAATACAGGTGGTGGACTTTGGAGTCCAAACACCAACTAGCATAAGGAATCTGTTATAAAACTGCAAAGATAAAGCACTTTTACCAATGAGCACCTAATCAGGTAAGATGGGAAAAACTGACTGGAATCCTTCCATAATTTGGCCACCCAGTAACTTCGTTTTCAACTATTCCCTCTCCCATTTAATTTTATCATGTGTAACAACTATAAAACTGTATGTGCAGAGAAAGATGCAGAATATTACAAACCCCAATACAAGATCTCCAGGATTCAGAAGATGCCCCAAGTGAGTACGACAGAAATACTGATGGTCTGTATTCAGTTCTGATGTTTTCTGAACCCAGGCTTCCGCAAGGGAATGCTTAGAAATGTCAAAATAAAAGGAGTACATATATGAAAAGTAGTTAATTAACTGAAGCAAAACAATTGCAAATTACTTTCTAGCCAAATAATTCAATTTTTCTAAACTACATTTAGTATTTTCACATGTGGATTTTCAAGCAATTGTTTGACGTTCACCACCCATTTAGTAATCGCTCTGTACACCTGAAATGCACTATATATTTAGTGTACTTTCACATGTGGCTTTTCAAATAACATAACGAACTAGCTGTACCTGGCCACGCATTGCTGTGGCTCAGTCTGGTTAAATGGAAAAGAAAGAAAAGAGAAAGCGCACGTTTGTAATATGTTTTTGTTTATGTAAAATTGCTTTTACGTCCAACAGATGGCGCTGTTTTTCAAAAAAAGCATGTTTTTACCTGTCACAGGTGTGACATCTATATAATAGTAGGTATATAAAAACACGCACGTATTCAAATACAACATTGTATCAAAATTTCAAAGCAATCGGTGAAGAACTTTCGGAGATTTAAGATTTTGAACAAACTAACATTTACATTTTTATTTATATAGATTATTATATATTAGGAATACTGAATTATGGGTCTCATTTAGCTTGTCACTGAACTGCAACCTAAAGTAATAAAATAATAATAATGCATAATAATAATAATGATTAACTTGTACATCCCAAAGTAGAGCTCTGTTTGATACAACTGTTAGTAAGCCAAGCCGAAACTGATCTCTCCTAGGATCTGCTTGGAAGATTAATCCGTATGAAACCTAGCTGAAGCTGATCTCCCAAAGGAATCTGCTTTGTGGTTTTAACCCACAGGTAGCTAAGCCAAAACTTTTCCTTTTGGGACTGATGGTTCTCTGTGCAGATATGGGAGAGCTATGCTCTCTTTGCAGTGAGGGCAAATGTTTTTTCCTTTATTTCAACACAAAGGTAACTCTACTGCTCCAGGGCAAAAAGGGGCATTTTAGGTGCTGGAGCATTTAGCATTTATTTTTTTCTGGCCTTTGGCTTCCCAGGCCTTCTGCCCTTCTTTTGGGTGGGTGGGGAACTCTTTGTACTGTGGCGTGCCCTTGGAACCTCCTGGCTGTTTGGACCTTCCTGCAGGGTAGCTGTTTGCTCTGTTGTGGGGGCTTCCTAGCATTCAGCCCTTTATTGGAGGGGCCTGCTTCTCCAAACCCTTGAGGCAATCCCGTGCTTATGCTTGTCTCTCCACTTAATGACCCATATAATTTAATGACTGTAAGGGGAATTGCCAGGATTGTAGTTGTTGAGTGAAGCACTCATGTGATGTACCACTTAACGACTGCTTCGTTGAACAACTGATTCTGGTCCTAATTGTGGTAATTAAGCAAGGAATATCTGTACTTTAATCCAGAATGTTTCTTCAGTGAAAACTTGCTTATTTTAGACAAAAACAAATATAGTAATTTACAACATGTCTTTTTCTAAGACTAACTGTATCACATTTATTGTCATGACATTATTGAATATAAAGTGTTTTCATATACTTCTAAAGAAAGTGTGTGTGTGTATCTTTTCATAAATTCAAAAGACTGTGGTATAAGTTCTTTTCCTAAATAAAAGTGTTCTAATCACAACCCTAAATTATAAAATCCAAACTTATTCAAAGATCCAATCATCTGAAATCCAAGAGGGTGGTTATTCATGATTAATTGCAAAATGCTGTTCATTTTAAAGGGTTTACCCTAAGTACAGCATGACAAAGTTTGGATCAAGCCTTTAAAAAGAAAAAAAACCTACAGGGATAATCCTGAGCATAACTCTGTGGATGAAATTATAATCTTTAGCAGTTAGTCCAACCGCTAAATTTTATCCAACTAAGTATACTACGCATTAATATTTATTGTTTCCTTGTTTTGTTTTTATATTTTTAATATATTTATAATTAACACTTATAGTGGTTTTACATGATTATTTTTAGCTTATAAATTATAAGAATAAATAATATTTAATTCATTCTGAAGAAAACAAGGACTTCACTGGAACTATCATACATTTATACAATATTCTGCAAAGTGAAACAAAGTTAATCAGAAAGCAAGATTCACTTAAGCTTCTAGCAGAGAACCAAGCAAATGTTTACCTTATTGGATTTCATGCCTGCACCAGCACCTTGCTTCTGATCATAGGTCCTACTGATATCCATTACAATAAATTCTTCTAACTGCTTTGGATGAAACAAGCTATTAAAAGGATGGCGCCAATAATTATTTCCATCTATTTCTGCAACTGAAAGAGCAAAAGAAGAAAATAGGAACAAAAACAGATATTTATGAATCAATTGTTGATATTCCTGGTTATAAATGCTTCTCTGGTTGGTAACCTGATGTTGGTGAAGCAGTTGGTAGGCTCTGATTGGGGAAATAGAATGGACAGTTTAGGGAGGAATCACAAGAAAGTATTTCTTCTAGTTAAATTCTAATGTCTGAGAAATTCAAAATGGCAACCTAGGCTTCTAGTTGCTAAGGGCAAATACCAGGTCCATATTGATCATTCACAGCTTAGTTGTAGATGACTAAGTGGATTTGTATATAATACCAAAATCTGACTGGATGAGTTCATTTCAAGATTTGCTTTTCTGGGTTTTGGGTCATTTAGCTGCGTTGATTTCAAGGGGAAAACACTCGTGAAGAATCTTGAATGACACCACAACTATGATCAGGAGCCCTGTTTTAAAACAGCTGTAAGGTGGCATCCACCTTACAGTTAGCAGGTTTTCATTTATTAAATTATTTTATTATCAATTTACATTTTTAAACTTTTGAAAAACATGTTTTCAAATTTTTGTATTTTCTTTTTTTAAAATTTATTTAGCTTCCTTGTGTACCCAATCATGAAAACAATATATTCATGTCAAAGATGTATTTTCAACTGTAATAATAATAATAATAATAATAATAATAATAATAATAATAATAATAATAATAATAGTAAAGTTGGAAGGGACCTTGAAGGTCATCTAGTCCAACCCCCTGCTCAGGCAGGAAACCCTATACCATTTCGGACAAATGGCTGTCCAGTCTCTTCTTAAAAACTTCCAGTGTTGGAGCATTCACCGCTTCTGGAGGCAGNTGATTAGCTTCCACCCGTTGCTTCTTGTCCTGCCTTCAGGCGCTTTGGAGAATAGCTTGACTCCCTCTTCTTTATGGCAACCCCTGAGATATTGGAACACTGCCATCATGTCCCCCCTCGTCCTTCTCTTCATCAAACTAGACATACCCAATTCCAGCAGCCGTTCCTTATATGCTTTAGCCTCCAGTCCCCTAATCATTAGGACTGTATTTAAATTAAAATTCATGCCAAGTGCTTATTATTGGTATTATAAGTTTACAAATTTTAGAAAAAATATCAACAAACTTACTTTGAAGAGTACTTGGATCAATAATGTGAATGGCACTGGTTACTCGGATACAAATGCAAATCTGGCTCATATTACCAAGGCTTTGAGCCAGTTTTGGTGACAAACACACAACATTGTCCTGCAGATGAAGAAAAAAAAACAAAAAATGGTATTTATTTCAATTTTATATCTTAAACTATTTTAATAAAATATTACAGTCCTGAAAGACATCTGGACATCAGAAAACTACACTGATGTGTTTCTAGGTATTAAAGAATTAATGAGGTAAGGTAAAGAATTAATTAATAACAGCTTATTAATGCTAAATGGAGATTTAAATAATATTAAAATAGATTTGTTTAGATTAACTTATTAATTACTGCCTGCTAAGTTGATCAAATAAGTACATACACTATATATAGAATTTAAAAATTTTATATAGTTGTTGCTACTGGTCAAGACTATACAGTTGGAAGTACATTTAATTGAATTTAACTGCGCTTACTTATGAGATTTCATACCAAACACTGTACTGACATTAAGATGTAAGCCAGGAATGAAAATAATTATCTGATGTTGTTACAGCACAGCTCCCATCATCTGACTCCAAGTTAATGTTGTCTGATTGAATTTAAAAGGCAATCTCGAAAAAGCCACAGATTATCCACCTCTGAGAAATGCAAGTAATTTATTAATGCTTTTACAGGGACCCATATTCAGAATCTATTGGACAGCTCGGTTCTTTTTCTCTCAGAGTGCATCCAATATTTGCTGCTCAACATTGCTCAAAGCCACCCAAAATCCCTTGATGGCATATAAATGTAATAAATAAATAAATAAATGTGCAAGAAAAAATACAATTTCTAAAGATCATTCCATTCCAGGCAAAAAGGATGTGCAGTTTCTTAGTGTCTAATCCACAAAGACAGAAAATACCTTGCATACTGGAACAATCTCAACAGAGAAAGTGCTTTTGTAATTATACGTATTGCTGTGAATGTCATGAGAAATCAAACGCTGTGATGATTTAATTCTGTAATTAAAAAATGACAAACTCAAATCAGAACAAATAAGGCTATGGTATAATTCTTTTTAAAAAAAACAAACAAACATGGTTTGCTAAACATGTCACAGTGGCCTGGCTTATAAACAAAGCCTAGCCATAATGAGCAAGTCCTCATAAGCAAACAACAAATCGTATTTTGGATTAGAGTTATGGATGAATTAGATTTCACATTAAAAATCCCTCCCTCACCACCCTGTAAAATAAGTAGCAAAGAAGGCATGTTCACAATTACAAATCTAAATCTTGGCTGTATTCCTTGAAACACTTATAGTTTGTAAAAGTGAAAATTGAAAGAGGATATTTAAAAAAATCAACATTCTCCAAAGATATAAACTATCATCTCCACAATGGTTAATACTTGAATAATTCCAAATGTTGAATATACATTAAAAAGTAAAACTGCAAGGATTTCATTCTAATAGTATTTTTGGAGCATAAGCTTTCCCTCTTTCCAAAAGACTGCAGAAAAGCTTCAAAGATGTAACGTAAGAACATGTATTGGATTTTGCTTCCATGATATGAATGTATAACCTTATTTATTTCTTGAATTTATATTTTGCGCATTTCACTGATAAGGTGACTCTCTCAATGTCTTATCTTGAAAGGAGAAGCCTTCTTCCAATTACATTTCACTGTTCTTGTTTAGGAGATTGCCAGATCTGGTACTTCATTCTATTCTATTCTCATTGTTGGAATACGTAAATCTTCAGGCACACAAGACTGTAATTGAAAATGAGTATGTCTGCTATGGGTTGTTAATGATGATCTGGAGTACATCAGAAAATAAACTAAGTGCATCGACCTTTTTTCTTCCAAATGTTTGACAACCTGGGGTCTGTCTAATTTTTTTAATGTATCTACAATGCCTTAAACAGCTATGCGATGGACGATTTAAAGAACAAAGACTTACCTACAAGGTACAGTACACTGAAGGAAGTCCACCATTTTCTGAGCATGCTGTTTGGAAGCATAATAGAAATCCAAACCATCTGTAGGTATGTAAATGAAATTGAAATGAAGACCCGTTGCTTATTTATAAGTGATCTTATCTTCCTGGATTTTCATGAAAGCCTAAAAAGTGTTTTGATATTTTCATAGACTAATGTAGGTTGACTTCTTTATATAAACATGTTAAGAAAATTTTAATTCCACCCTAAAATATTTAGGCAGCAATGTAAATGTATTTATTTATCTAACAAATAATAATCCTCAACTGTTTCCTTTGTGACCCATTTTCTTTAAAAAAACAAGCATCTTATTCTTGACTGCCAATAACTCATGCTAACAGTATTGAGACTCTGATCACTCAAAGGCACCAAGAGCTTTACATAAAGAATGTAAAAGCATATAACTTACCATGAATCTCTTTGATCCGAAGAGTGTTCTGGTGAAGCCTGTGCTTTAAAATTAATTGCTCCAAATAATAGAATGTCTTTTTATGTAGTGTCTATAAACAAAATAAGATTTATACATAAGTGGTGTTTATATTCCTATAAAGGGATTAAGACTAGAATCATTTCACTTGAAATCCAAAATTCTGTAGCCCATATAAAGTATGTAGACAGGAATAAATATATAGCCCAAAATAAATATGTTTCCTACAGAAACCTGGAATCAATTTGTTTTTTTATAGCATTCATATTCCACTATTTGGTTGAAAGATTCGCAGAGTTGCAAGAATATTTGTGTTTGGGTGTATGTAGGTAAGAAAGAGCAATCACATTTCTACATATCAGATGAAATCCTAGCAGATGAATTGTGTCTTCAGCATTCACTATTAGAGATACATATGCACATATACATACCTTTTGCCTAACTTGAACCACTGCTTTCCAGAAGTCCTTAGCTTCAACTCGATGGCAATCTTCACACATTTGAGACTGAACAATATACTCTACTACAAAGACTTGCTGAAGAATGGCACCATTCATTACCTAAGTAAGAACAAGAAAGATTTGCCACCTTGAGCGAACTGGCAATTAGGTGGTTTTACAAACTCATTGAATAAATAAATCTCTCCCTGAATTTTTTTCCTTCTTCAAAACTTATGAGACATGTAGTTTATGGTTGGCATTTTTTCTTCTGCTAGAAGAAGACTTTCATAAAGCACAGATAAATGATGGAATATCTAGAAACCACGTACCACAACAAACGGTTAAAGATACATTTACCCCACGGAAGAAAAACTGATGGAAAATATCTTCAAATGTTAAACAATCTTCAAATATGACAAGGGGTGTCATACAGAAGACAGAGTGGATTAATTCTCTATTTTCATAGAGGACAAGACTAGAAACAATGGATTAAATCTACAAGGAAATATTTTCAGTCTGGACATTAGGAGGAATTTATTGATTCAGCATAACACAATGATGAGTTTTGCTTTGCTGAAATTCTTCAAAGGATGGTTGGTAATCTGTTAAGAGATACTATAATGGAGCCTGCACTAAGTAGGGATTGGATTAGATGACAATACTATGAGTGGGTATGCTCCTAGTCCCTTCCCTAAATATTGTCAATTCATGGGAACTAAAAAGTGTGTCTTTTCCATCTCAGCTCCTGTCCCTCTGTCCCCTGAACTTTGGCAAGTCTCTATCCTAATGCCTTCTGTAAAACTTTGAAGTTCTGGTTCCCCCCCCAAGCCCTGAGATAAGATTGTATAAATGCACATTAGAAAGTTGACATGGCACCAACTTGGTTTTAATCTGGTTTAATATACATATATTATATATTTTCTTAGCTTTTGATTGGGAGCTACCTATAATTGGTTAGAAGATGGGCAGTTTTATTAACATTTTAATTAAACAAATAAATGAGTAAAAAATTAAACAATTTATGATAAAAGTTACTACCTTTAGTGACGTATATGCAAAGTGAGAATAATTAATCTGTTTGAATTTAAGACTGTGCTTTGAAATAGAATTGTGAATAGTGGAGGCATCCGGAGATGCTTATATTATGGACCTACTACAAAAAAGGATTCCTTAATGTTTTATTGATCTGCATATATCCCAAATCTATACATGCCTCTGGGGAAATGAGATATTTTGTAATTTATTTGTTTAGAATAACTTTTGTATACTGCCCAATTTCAAAATACTTTGCAAAACTGTAACTACAACCTATGTCCACCATCTACATAAAAAAACTCAACAGAACAATCTGGCTTTCAAAGCTTTGTGAATCACAGAAAAGATGGGCATTCATTCTACCTCCCAGTAGTGTTTCTTCAATTAAAAATGACACCGTTCCTACATACTTAAACTGATATGAAATGGATATCCTGACAAGCCTCCTGAGAATCAATGCACAGAGTATGCCACATCTGGTTAGGAGAGACAATCCTGCAAGTATATGCTTTCCATATGACTTTAAAAGTCAAAAACAGTATCTTGAATTGGGCCTGGAAGTCATCAGTATTCAGTGCAGCAACTTCAACATACCCATCACATTATTAAGCTTACTCCCACATTCAGCAGCCAAACTGCTGTATCCAGACTCAAATTGTACTTCTGAGTTATGTTTAAGGCCAGCCCCTTGGAGGCAGCTTTATAACATCCAACCACAAAGCTTATGGGATATACCCTCCAAAAAAATACATTTAGTAGATGTATATCATTATTAGAAACTCAACAAGTCATGAACAAGAAAACCCTCACATTTACCTAGCTAACATAACTTGGGTTTCTGATAAGGCATACTTGTATTTCTTCACTAATTCTGTCATTCTGCAAAAATATTTTAAGTTTACTTGCCTCTTTTTGTATAGTCAGCTTTACTTTAAGTCTTTTGGAGTGTGGTTCAGTCCATACAAATCCTGCATCAATCAACCGAACCTGTTAAGAGGAAACAGTATAATTATCATATGAATGTTCAAAAAGGCAAAACATAACAAAGACAGAAATGTATTGATTGAACAGTTTTAGCTTTTAACTAATGTTACCATGTGTCAAAGTACCTGTGGTTTCTGTACATTAGAAAATAAACTCACGCCTGTTATATTCACCTAACTCAAATCATTTGTTTTCAATTGTACAGGTACACAGCAACTAGGAATTCTGGGTTTTGGAAGTAGCAAGGTGGGAAAAGGCAGAGAGATGCTGGGTACTGAAACTTGAATTTTAGTTCAAGAGTGATAGCAGTATCCAACGTAAGAAAAATTCATACAAAAATAAACATATGCACGACTAACCTTACTAAGAGAAGTCTTAATTTTTTTAAGGCATAATGAAAGAAGTTCTCTTGATTCCAAAGCACACTGTAGCCAAGCTGCTGGTGGTTGAAGATATCTGAAATATCAAGAAAGGGGGAAAAAAATATCGACCAAATCATTTATTTTTAAGGCAACGTCCCTCCCTACCCCCAGCAGTCAGTTTTGATAACACAGGTGCATAATATTTTTTATTAAAAATAAAAATATAGTATGTTTTAGGGTCAGCGGGACTTTTAACATGTAGCAATGACTAATTTTATTAATTTCAATGGCAATAAAACATAACTTATACTGCAATCTTAAAAAGTTCCACTGAATTCCAAAAGTTTATTTTATTTTTTAACTACATTATTTGAATCTAAATCCGACCGATGATACAATAAACATGCTTTTCTATCAGCAATATACCCCATTACATACATTTTAGTATTTAAATTCAAAGAGCTTAATTCACTCTGGATGAATATGGTTATGAGGGTAATGATTTTATTTATTTGACTTGTTTGCTGCCCATCTCGCTTCAAGGTGACTACTCCCCTTCTTCCTTCTCCTCATACCATATTTCTACTTGGCTTCAGCAAGCAAGGCAAAGCTAGGCAATTGAGAAATGCAAATATCAAAACACAAAAATTCTAGACATAAAGTTAGTTGTATAAAGCAGAGGGTGGTCCTTTCTAGGGTGGGGGTGGGGTATTTGTTCATTCTTGGAAATGTATCTTCTACAGCAGAAATAATCTGTGATGCTTTCAATGAAAATGAAATTATAAGCCTATTGCAGTCATGTGATGTTTTGCTTAGCAATGGAATTACAGGTCTCAATTGTGGTTGTTCAGTGAAGACTACCTGTCCTGTGTTTCAGAAATACTGTCAGACTGTGCCAGGTATGTTATGATTCAGCAGACGTGAAACCCAAAATACATTGGTTGTTTCAGGTTTTGGCTGAAACAAAATCTGTAAGAGTATTATTGGCAAGCATGTCTGATAAATCAATTTGCTCTCCTATTTACTACCGTTTCTTTTTTTCTGCTGCTGACAAAGTTGGCTTCAAGCACGGTTATCATTCCAACCAGCCAATTTACTCCTCTTTCAATATTTCCAATGTCTTCCTTTCTTTACAGTCCCTTAGCAACACACACTACTGTTGCTATCCCTGGTTTTTTCTGATTCTGAATGAAAATTTCTGCCAGAATATGAGTTTTACTCTCTTAATTAGATCAAATATGTTTTACCCTATCAGTAAATTTCAAATCTACATTTAATCAGAAGCAAAGGGAAATAAGCTAGAATTATTCATTTGCACGCAACATTAAATAGACCCTATGGTTTTCCAGGTTCGTTAGAGTACTTGCTGGCAAATGGAACTAAGTGGGAATGTTTGAGTAGCATATAATACAGGGGTGTCAAACTCAATTTCATTGAGGGCCACATCAGCATTGCGGTTGCCCTCGGGGTGGGTGGGTGTGGCCAGGGTGGGTACGGCCTACTGGGTGGGCGTGGATGGAGTGGGTGTGGCCTACTGGGTGGGCATGGCCAGCTCTACATCGTTCACGTCAAGGGTGCCTGTAGGGGTCTGGGCAGGAGTGGGACAGATCTGAGGGTCTCTGGCGAAGGGGGTGGGACCGGGGCAAGCGCCATGGCATGGTCTATTTCTTCATTCCTCACAAAGGGTGACACCTTTCCAGCATGCACCCAGAGGGTGGGGCCAACGCGGCAGGGGCTAGTTCCTCGCTGTTTCTAGACGGCCTTGTGGAGCTAAGACTGAATGTGTTTCAGCATAGATGGCCACCACAAAATTGTACATTGACTCCCGGCCGGCCTGGGCCAGGGCAGCGGGGGCTGTTCCCTCACTGTTTCCAGGATGGCTTTGCGGGCCACATGAAACCACTTCGCGGGCTGCATCCGGCCCCTGGGCCTTGTGTTTGACATGTCTGATATAATAGGTTTACAATTCTAGTCTAAATTATTTAGAAAACTGAAGAATATTTGTAGCTCAGGGTTGAAATGAGAGGTCCATGGTGGTCTCTGAGCTTGCTTGTTTTCTTGCAGATGTTTCATTACCCTAACTAGGTAACATCATCAGTGCATCAGTATAGCACTGATGATGTTACCTAGTTAGGGTAATAAAACGTCTGCAAGAAAACAAGCAAGCTCAGAGAGCACCATGGACCCCTTATTTAGAAAATTGCCCTATTGTAACATCCAAACATAGTTGTTAATTTAAAATCTAGAAAGTAGATGGTACCTTTCACACTGTTTGCAGAAATGAATAGTGACTTGCTTAGGAATCCCCTCAGTGATATCCACTTGAGTTCTTAAACAGGCTACACACATGTTGGCTGGGTTTGGTGGGATTGCAATGCCACACTGGCAACATAAGCTATAAAACATAAAATTATCATTAAAATAAAACACATTATTTCTTTATTTAAAAAAGAAAATAATACATAATTTTGCTTTCTAGTGCCAACAGTCTAGACTAATATCAAGACAATGCAATTTTGATTCAGAGATTCAAATGCGTGGAGGGTTTGACTGAAACCCCACATCAAATCATATTTCTGAGTCAAGACAGAAAATCTACCTGAATCAGTGAATCAAATCAGATTATCTGAATCACAAGCAATCAGTAACACTCTTACTGAAAAAAACAATTTTATCATGTTTTTTTACTGCAAATAATAGAATAATTCTGGAATAATAATGCCTTTTACACTGTTAATAAAACTGAGTACGCAACATAAAAATCTATTTATAAATAATGGTATTCCAAAGATTACATCTGTTACAGTTTAAATCTCATTTCCAGAATATTTTAATTTCCAAATGGCTTATATTCAGAATCATTTGAGAATATAATCCCAATTCAAATAAATGAAAGAAAGGATATTTAGGGTATAAAACCAAATCACTCATGCAGATACTTGATAGACCTCACTGGACTGTACTCTCCTCCTCCCGAAATCAAAGAATAAAATTAAGGACTTCTTTAAGTCAACATTGACACCTAGTTACTTTATTGATATGTCCATGTTTTTGGCACCAATACAGAGGTAACTTGTCACTTCCTTTTTTTCCTTCAATTTTCCAGTCTAGTCTACAGATGTGATTGGCATTGTCTACTATTCAATTCTATCCAGGCATTGCACTGCTTAAGAGTCTGAAATCATTATAACATCCTGATTTAATAGAAAATTGTCATATAAGCAAGTTTGTCACCTAACGATTTATATTTCAATATGCAATGATAGCCTGATTGTAGTATTTTCAGATAGGCAATTCCCTATTTAATCCTAGGACTTCATATATTCTCCATGTTTAGTTTGACTTTTTAAGTCATGCTACTCACATGTTCCCCTGGTGAAGGGGAGTATACTCTTTCATATATTCCATTTCTTGTTCCACATGTGATTCTCAAAAGATACAAACACTGTCACCTAATGGAAGAAGGTCAGACCTTGGTAAACGGAGAATGATGTAAATCTGTCACATTCTAAAATTCTTAAGGTGGGAAGAAATGTGCTTCAATTTCAACCAAGAGATGGGGATCCAATAATTCCATAAATACCAAGTGTCAAAATAAAATGTAAAAACAATTATAGGACTGGTTTCAGCTCTCTATTAGAAATTAAAGGAAGGAATTGAGTTATAGAATCAAATGTCATAAAATATCACAATTCAGATGCAGATACTGCTGCTGGGGAAGAGATATTGGACACAAGTGTACTTATAGAAAATGCCCATTTTTATTTTTGCTTTTTTAAAATGGCAAGTTAGCATTCTGGTAAATCAGAATTTTTTTTGAAATTTTCACGTACGCCACAGCAGTCATTATGTGAATAGCAGTATTTTTTAAAGAACCATTCAAAATTTATCCATAACATTTCAAATATGCACTCCATTGCAAAATATTTATAAGCAGCAAGAGGTGACTTACAACAGTGACCATTCAAAATTACAGCGGCACTGAAAAAAAGTGACTTATGACTGTTTTTCACACTTACGACTGTTCCATCATCCCCACGGTCACGTGGTCAAAATTCAACATTTGGCAACTGACTCATATTTATGATGGTGTGGTGTGAGTGATGTGATCACCTTTTGCACCTTTCTGATAAGCAAAGTCAACCTAAGTGCCACATTTGGGTTATTAATTAGGGACTTTTCTTTCTTAACTCAAAGGCAAAGCAGGCAGAAACAGTTCTTCCCAATTTCTAGGCTTATTTCTCATATTATATGGGAGGTTTGAATTTTTGAATTGTAAAGCAGTGTTTCTCAACTTGGCCATTTTAAGATAGGCGGACTTCAACTCCCAGAATTCCTCAGCCAGCATGCTGGCTGAGGAATTCTGGGAGTTGAAGTCCACCATCTTAAAATGGCTACTGTTGAGGAATATTATAATATAAGGCATAAAAATGTTCCTCCCAGAGATCCTCTTGCCGCACCCACCCTCTCCAAGTTCTCCTGAGCCCAGATCCTGGGTTCAACTCCGAAGCTACCTGGGGTTGGAGAAGGGAAGGGTTTCATATCAGCCCATCCCATCCCCCTCCAACTGCACGTGGCGGCTGAGCTGTCGCGGGGACGCCAGTCAGCGGCCAGTCTAGCACGAGCCCTCTCTCAATCCTTCCCCTTCCCAATCGCGCAACCTGCCCAATGTCCCAATCTGCAAACCAACCGGTCGCGCTCTTGCGTTCTCCATCTTAACTTACCTTCCCGTCACAAACAGCACTTCACCGCTTATTAACAAACCCTTAGTCTGAGAAACGAAGCAGCTCTCGCGAGAACGCCTGTTACTCCATTCCCTCTCCTCGAAAAGGGGAAGTAGAAAGTTCGATGCCCAGAAGAAAGAAATAATCACTTCCGAGTTTTTGACTCATTTCCTTTCTAGGCAGATAAAACTTTATCATCCCGTACAGACCACGTGGGTTGTCCCGCGTGTTCATTGGGGAGCCGAAAGTGTTGGGTTTTGTGTGAGGTTTTTTTTTTTTTGAGATTACTTTTACCGAGTTTAAAAAGAAGGCTTGTGAAAACGCAGCGTACGGGCAAAACCGTCACACAAAAATGATGAAACAGTTTCATTCCACAACGTTTCATCTTGGTTTTGTACAAGAAGCTTTCTGGGATCCCATCTTTGACAGTCACTTAAAATAATGAGAAAAGCCCGAATATGGATATCATTAAAAAAAAATCAACGTGGGAAATAATCTTTAGGTTTTATAGTACTAGATTTGAAATGATAATTTGAGAAAGGAACGTCACTGATTTCTACCAAAAATATTTCAAATGGACTTCGATTAACCCTGAATACGATTTAAAATTTCACATTCCAGAGATGATATGTGATATGATTCATAGTGGCAGGGCTGAATCCTTAATCTTAAAAACATGCAAAAAAATTGAAAGAAATTAAGCATGGATCTTTTTTTTTTTTTTTACAAATTTTTCTATTCTAGAGAACAGATGCCTTTTGCATCTCATCTAAGCCTGTTTGGGCTTCTTAGTACAGTTTTAATAAGCTCCCTAATTCCTTAAATTCCCTAACTCCAGTGTATTAATTGGTTATGTGCCATCAGATGGTTTCCCTGCTAGTGGCCACATATGCAGATTTCTATGTGTGTATGAAGTAGCTTAGCTGGAAAAGAAGCCAGCTTAATACACTTCAACTTCTGCTTTCTACTTTGGCCCCAGGAATAGCCTGATGCTCTTTCTAGGCTGTTTACCATGGCTTTTACTTGGTAGATTCCCTGGTTTGTTCACTCCTCCCACCCTGGTCAGAAATCAATAGCAATGGTTTTCTTTGGAGGACAATTCTTTGCATACGTTCACCAGCCCATTGACTGAACTAGACACCTTCCTATCTGGGGCATATAGTGGTGTACCATTAATAACAAACTCAGAGTGTACAGTACCATCTCATGTTTATCAGTTTCACTTGATTAAAAAAAACGAAGCTCACATTGTTCCATCATCCTACTTCTAAAAGAGAAACAAAATCCAGCTGTTCGCCATTCAACTTGTAATTTGGATTTAGCGATGGGGCAAACAAATTTGTGAAGGCATTTATCAGAAACTGGAGGAAAAGGGTCCTTGCCACACGGCACAATAACCAGTTGAACTTGAGATGTTTCCATATCATGAAGTGAAGTTGAGAGGGTGATCTGTAGTAATACAGTAATACAGTAGTATTACTTATGCCTGCACAAGACAGAACATTCTATTTTGGAAGTACAAACAAAATATAAATAATTGTATTCAGCATAATCTAATGACAACTGATTTGCCATTGTAGGAAGTCAGCACCCCCCTCCCACCAGAGAATGAAATATTTTTGGGAATATTAAAAGAGGCAGGATAGAATATTTCCCCTAAAGGAGAAATGGAGAAAAAAAATCTTAACAAAGGCAAAAACAGCCCCAATCTTCCTCTCTCAAGCAGAAACCTGCAGAGGCTAATCTTTAGAAATGGAGTTTTTGTAATCCAGTCAGAAAGACTGGGCCCCCTATTCACAAGCAAAACACCTTCAACCACAGCTCCCACATTTCACAAGGAACAGGCATCTCAAACATAAAGCTCCAAAGAATGTATAAAAACCCACCTACTCTCAACTTCATTTTATCAGCTGTCCCAGAACTGCATGCTGTTGTTGGTTCTGCTCATCAATAAACCTTCTTTCCTAAGCAGCCTCCATTTTATTTCCAGCATCTATCTCCCAGCTTGGCATTGGACCTGATTTTTCTTCTAACACCATGTTCTGAATCGAATCAGACTATGCTAAACTACAACCCTTTTTTACATGTTCCAGAATTCTGGAGAGAATTCTGATAATTTAGTCACAAACCGAGAGGTCAGTCTAATTAAGGACAACTCATAAAGAGAATGTTCTTAATATTCCATTACTCAGTGATGGGACACTGCTTTTATTTACAAGGTACTTTGTTCCAAAGGTTTCAAGGAAGAATAAAGGCTTCCAATATTGTTGGTTTAACATACCTAAGAAAGCAGTTTGTGTCTGAACCAAAAGAACTTCATAAGAACCCAGAGGGGACAACTAGAAATATTTGTAGAAGTAACTAGCTACTTGTATGTTTTAGAGATAAAAGTATTGAAATAAGTGTGGGGAGATTCAGGTTCAAATCTGCTCTCTGTCATGCCATTTCTTGTGTGTCGTTCCTTTGGAACAGAAAAAATAGGAACTGCTATAAGAGGACTATATGGATGAATAGCAAGTCCAGTGACAAACTGAGAAGCCAAAGTGAGATGTACAGAAACTGGAAGCTAATTAAGAAGGATTATCAAGTATAGCTGAAGCCTTATAGGAATAAAGTTGAAAGAGTAACGCTCAGAATGGGGTAAAGCTGGTGAGGAATGCAAAGTAAGAGGGGATTTTGGATGGAATGGACATGAAAATTTATTTTTAAATAAATAGGGGATTTTGGACGGAGGGGACATGAAATTTTATTTTTAAATAAATAGGTTGGAAACTTGTTCATCAGTTGCACAGGGATGGTTGCAGCACCTATCATCTCCCAGAAAAGGGAATGGAGTCTTTTGGATATGTTGAGAAAAGGCCAAGACAGAATCTATATAAATAAAAACGTAAATGTTCGTTTGTTCAAAATCTTAAATCTCCGAAACTTCTTCACCAATTGCTTTGAAATTTTGACACAACGTTGCATTCGAATACGCGTGTGTTTTTATATACCTACTATTATATAGATGTATAGATGTCACACTTGTGACAGGTAAAAACATGCTTTTTTTTGAAAAACAGCGCCATCTGTTGGACGTAAAAGCAACACGCTAGCATTGTGAAATTAAACATATTACAAACGTGCGATTTCTCTTTTCTTTCTTTTCCATTTAACCAGACTGAGCCACAGCAACGCGTGGCCGGGTACAGGTAGTTCAATACTAATAAAAATGCACTAAAACCCCGCATCACTTTAATTAATTTGTATCCCAGGGCATTCAAATTAACATCTCAGTGTTGAAGGAGGCTGACTGTCAAGCATGGGGTACAGTGTTTAGCAGCAGCTAAAAAAGCAGTTTGGGGCTCTTGATAGAAGCATTGCATACAGATAATTGGAAATAATTGCTCTACTGTACTTTTGGAATAGTGTGTCCAGTTCTGGACACCAGATTTTAAAAGGAAAATGAATTAATTGGTGTGGGTTTAAAGGATGTTAAGGGCCCTGAATACCAAACCCAATAAGGCACAGTTAAAAGTTGCTGGGCATGTTTAACTGGCAAATGAAAAGAGGAAGTATGATAATATCCTAGATGCATGAAGAATCAGACATGTTTTTCTGTTGACTCAAAAACAGGCAAGGGTTGAAATTAAAAAAAAGATTCAGGCTGAATATTAGGAAGAACCTTCTGACTTTAAAACCTGTTAAGCATACAAAGTAATGCTTAAAATAATGGTGGACTCCTCTCTGGAGACTTTCAAATATTTCTAAATGGCTATCTGTCATACATATTTTAATTCCTGCATTGAGCAAAGGATTGGATTAAATGATTAAATGGTTCTATTAGATTTATTCTGATTTTAGATAGCCAGAGCAAAATTGTAATATAAATGATCCCAGCAGGTGGCAGAAGCAGGTTGTTTAAACAGACAAGCCCACATTAATCCTTTAAACTGAACAGTTTTATAGTAAACACACTTCTAGGTTTGCCCATTTTATAGTAAACACACTTCTTTTTTCTTTTCCTTGATGATTAGATAAAAATAGATTATAAAAAGAAATGAAAGTCCTGCTGTAACCATACAGTAATAGGTTAATTTACACTTATAACTGTTACAAAGAAAAGCAGGAGCTTTTTCTTTATGTTTTCTTTTNTCTCTCTCTCTCTCTCTCTCTCTCTCTCTCTCTCTCTCTCTCTCTCTCTCTTTCCTTTCTTTGTCCCAAATATTATCTCAAAGGTGCTTTTTCAAGAGGCAACTAGATTTTCTTTCTTTATTTGTCTAAACAAAGAAAGTCCAGTTGCTTCTTGAAAAAGCACCTTTGGGACAACCATGACCTGGATGACTAAGAATCTCTGTAGACATCCCAAATATTAGTTTCTATTAGTTTTTAATAAAAATATGTGTACACGCACACACACATACACACATAAAAATACATATGCGTGTGAATTTACTTCAGATCATGCAATAAAATAAAATAAAAAAACCCTGAAACAGAAATGTTTGACTTTCATATCACTTGATATTTCAGGTTGCATAGAAGGTAAGATAAGAATATTAACTTGAATCAATAAAAATGCTCAACATTCTAGTATGCAAAGTAACCACGTTGTTTTGTTTCCTCAAACACTCACATCATTGTAATGTATCAACATGGGACTACTAGGATCATGAATCATCTGAAGGAGGGCATACTTTCCAGAGCTGGGTGTTGAAGCTAACAGGCATAGTGGACTCTGTTTCTTACATTGATATGGACCCCACTAATACAGTATATCGCTGCTGTTTTGGACTAAAAGCAGCAGAAAAATTTCACATGCTAGCAAGGGGAAATGAAGTTTCTGAGATGACATATGCCCTGCTTTCCAAGCTACTTGTTTTCCACTGAGATTGGCTGCCTGTAGCTTTAGTTTTGTCAGTGTTTTTCTTTGCAAGGCAGCTGCCATAAAAAACTTCAAAGCAAGTGTAACACTTTTGTGGCTTCCACACTTGGTTGTCATATCAGGGATCAGCGAGTGATACAAATACATCCATTCACAGACATATATCTACACTGTATATCCAGTGGTGGGATTCAAATATGTGAACAACCAGTTCTCTGTGTGGATACCACTTCCGGA